CTTTGGATGGAGATTTACTGCTGATCACAGAACCGTGCTTCACTGAAAGATACGCATGACAATCGCAGCTTCTGTTGAATCGCGATCTCGATTCCATTTCGATTTATCGTGCAGCCCTACTATATAATCATTATTTCGCTAATAAACATCATAAACACGCAAATAATTGGTATCGGTATCGGTTATAAAATATCAATATCGGTCAATCACTAGAGTTAACTGACTTCTGTGATGTGAGGCGGCTAGCAGAATGGCAGACTACCAGTCTGTCTGCTTCCTGACCTGGGCCCCAGTTAGTCAAGTACAAACTCTTAAGAATATGTGCCATATTTCTAGAGAGAAGAGTGGAACCACCCCAGGAGGGATGAAGACCATCTCTTTTCAACAGGTCAGGTATGCCCCAAAAACTCGTCCAATTGTCTATAAAATGTTATTCTGCATATTATAACGTTACAGAATGAAATTACAGTCCCGGAAGTGGAATAGGATTGTGCAAGCTTTAAATGTGTTGATGAAAGCGATCTATCCCATTTATGTTTTGATCATCGTTCTGAATCTGATCCAGACATATTTTACAAAAACATAATTTTCTCAGCTTTTTGTTCAAAATGTTGCTTTTTTCATAAAACTTACCCACATTCAAGTGTTGTTAAAAAAAAATACTTTTTTATTTTTGGTTAAAGGCAGAGGCGTTGTTCTTTTTTTTTTACATTGCATGTTCAGATATTTATACAATAAAATATTATGGGTTCCAGTAAACTTTTGTGAAAATGATGAAAAAATGCTGGCTGCGGCTGGCAAAAAGAGTTAAAAAAAAAATGTTTCATTAAATTCCTAATGAAGTACTACATTATTCACAATCTTGAAATGATATCCACCAATCAGAGAAATCACTGTTATCATGGAAGCTTGATTCAATTTTTAGCTAATGTTAGGTATGTATACGATAATATGTTCTTCCATGACTTTACAATCTTTTTGTTCCTCCCAAAACATAAACTTAAGGGAGAAAAGTGGTTCAATGTTAAGTAAAAAGGATATTATTTTATTGCATCTCTTTTGGCCAGCAGTAATCTATGTGTTCATTACTGCTTGAGTGCATCTCTCATTATTTTGTCCTCTATCTGTCAGGTTGAACCATGTTGGAGACTGGGGGACACAGTTTGGGATGCTCATTGCTCATTTGCAAGACAAGTTCCCAAATTATCTCAGTGTTTCCCCACCTATTGGTGACCTTCAGGCTTTCTACAAAGTGAGTATCTGTTATATACAACCGGATGGATGTGTTCAGAATTGGAGACTGCTGATCAGTTTCACCAATGCTTATATATATATATATATATATATATATATAAATATATCTTAAGAAGAATTAATTACATTGATCAAAAGTAGCAGTAAAGACATTTATAATGTTCGATTCTTTGTTTTAATCTATTATATAGGGATGTAACGGTATGAAAATTTCTTACCACGATTATAGTGACCAAAATTATCACGGTTATCGGTATTATCACGGTTTTGTTAAAATGAGATGAAAATGTTCAAAAATAACTGATACACACACTGAAAACATTCCAATAAGTTTTATATTTGAAAATTAACAAACAACAAACACAATTAGCAGCTATATGCACTTTAAGCATAAACATTAAATTAACATTAACATGGAGCCCTAATAATAATAATAAATCACATACATATATATATATATATATATATATACACAAACACACACATTTTAAATGAACAAAATAAGTTGTTGGGTCAGGTGACTAAACTACTGGAATACTTGATTCTGTTCTGCTGCATTTCCTTCCTTATAATGACTGTTGTCAATATCAACGCATTATAACACAGCACACATCCATGTCTCTTGTATCACCGCAGAGGCTCGGACGCGCTCTCTCTCGTTTCATTCAAATGCAGCTTGCCGTCTTGCGTCTCAGTTTTTGATTGCATTGAAAATGAAATCAGAGGAATTTAGTATTAATACTACTATAATATTGCTGTAGTGATCATATTGTCTGGACGATTGTTTGTACACTGTACATAATGGATTTATAAACAGGTAAGATTTTAAAACATTAATCTCAATTCAATATTTCATGTCCCCATAACGGAGATGTTCACAAGTCTTTAACTTGGAGTCCGAGTCAAGTCTGAAGTCTTTATCGCTGGAGTCTGAGTCAAGTCTCAAATCTTTATCGCTGGAGTCTGAGTCAAGTCTGAAGTCTTTATCGCTGGAGTCTGAGTCAAGTCTCAAATTTTTATCGCTGGAGTCTGAGTCAAGTCTGAAGTCTTTATCGCTGGAGTCTGAGTCAAGTCTGAAGTCTTTATCGCTCCACGAGCGATCGCAGTTTGAGTATAGTTCTATGTAAATGCATAGATAAACTGTGCTGTCAGCAGGCATTTCATAATCTAGAACAATAAAAACATTATTAGTAATTCTGATATAACATGCCAGTTGAGAAATGCAATAAAATACAATGTTTTGTTTGTTATATTTCAGTATTCCAGAGAATATTATTCAGTGAGTTATTCTTCACTCTTTAGCCTATTAAACCGCTTATAAACCTACTAAAACTGTAGTTTAAAATGAAGTTGATATGACTCCTTTCATTTATTTATTTTCTCCATTTGAAAACATTAGACCTTCTACATTTATTTTGCTTATTGTTAATATTAGTGTTGCTGCTGATGCTTTAAATAAAATGTTTTTTTATTGTAATATGAAAATTAAATTTAACATAAAAGACTGGTAATTTTCAACACTTTTTTTTTTTTTAAGATGGCTGAAAGGAGGAAAAACTTACTATGGACTTACTTCACTCAGTCATTTATTTACTTTATAACAGTAAATAAATATCGGTTATCGGGCACATAAACACGCAAATAATTGGTATCGGTATTGGTTATAAAATATCAATATCGGTCAATCACTACTGGACAGTATTTATTTATCGTGAGTTGTTCAAATCGCGGTAATCTAATATGGTTTTAATGATAATTAAAATATGAAACGGTAATACTAACCGTCGGGAATTTTATCATGATTTATCGTCAAACCGGTAATCGTTACATCCCTTATATTATATAATGTATTATAATATGATATAATATTATATGAAAAAAATGAAGCAGATATTGCTCATGAATTCCCTTTTTGAGGTCATTTATTACGTTTATAATAATATAATATAACAAAAACAAACTGAAGCATTTAAACTGATAGAATAGTATAGAATAGAACAGAATAGAACAGAACAGAAAACAAACTGGAGCATTTAAACTGAGATCTGTAAGCTAAATATAAATATATAAAAAAAAAAAATGTGAACGTGTAAATTCTTATATAGCTATCTAAGTAGAGTTTAGAGTAGTAGAGTTTGCACACTACACCTGTGTGTGACTGTAAATGTCTCTGAGTTTTGTTACCGTTCTGTGCTCATCATCCGCTATTTCCACCACTTAATCAAGGCATTTAACTTAAACAAAGCGTCTTCTTTCAAACATGATGACCTTTTTTTTCACGTCATTGCGTTTGCGTTGGCTCTCGTGTTGAGCTCTTTTGTCCATAACCATAAAAGTATTAGATTTTTACAGTGACTCATTTGGCGCACATCATTCACTTTCTATGAAACCTGTAAACCGCATTCACCGGTTCTAACTCTATAGCGACACCAACTCTATAGCGGTTTGCCCAAACATTTAAGTTATTTAGCATTTACTAGAATTCAATCAAATGGCTTTCCCAACTAATTTTTTTGCGTCTGTCCTGTGCACGGCATATTATTTCTTCTGCGCGTAGAATTTGACAAGCAGTCTGCGGTTGGTACCAGCTGCTAGCAACTTCAATTCAGTATTCTAATGTGTTTCCAACTGAAACGAAATATTAAATAGAAGGCAGGGTTTTATTTTAGAGCACATCCTTTCCACAATCAATTGTAGCAAACTAACAGTTGGAGGGGAGTGGTCAAGGATACTCCCCTACGTTGTCAAACTGACGTCATAAGATGCACATCTCCAAAAATGTATAATATATAATTAAATGTAAGTTATAATAACTTAACTTACATTTAATTATATTAACAATTCAATGCGAGTAGTTTTTCATGGTCCCTTGTAATATAGTTTCTTTGTGGAAGGCTTTGATAGAAACTCCATAAGTGCTAAGAGCTTTGTTGTGCATTCTGTGCAAATTATTGATTTTTTTTTACTTTTCAAAGCTGTTAAACTACTTTCCTCTTTCATCTCCATCAGGCGTCGAAGAAAAGGTTTGATGAGGATGAGGAGTTTAAGAAGAGGGCCTACCAGTGTGTGGTTAAACTACAGAGCAAAGAGCCAGACTTCATCAAAGCCTGGAACCTCATATGTGATGTTTCACGCAATGGTATGTGTGAGAAATTCATCATTAAGAATGTCATTCTCAAACAGACAGCATGTACAACCTCAACAGACAGTATGTGCCTTTTAGAGGTTACGGATAATTTGAATTGTTCATTGCTAAAGGAAGCAGAAAATATTTTTTTCTTTTGAAAGAAATTAATACTTTTATTCAGCAAGGATGCATTTTTATTGAAAGTGACACTAAAGACATTTATAATGTTACAGAAGATTTCCATTTCAAATAAATGCGGTTCTATTCAACTTAATATTCATCAAAAAATCCTGAAAAAAAGTATCACGGTTTCCACAGAAATATTAAAAAGAAATGTTTCTTAAGCACCCAATCAGCATATTAGAATGATTTCAAAGGATCTTGTGACACTGAAGATTTGAGTAATTCAGCTTTGCCATCACAGGATTAAATTACATTTTAAAGTGTGTTATAATAGAAAACAGTTGTTTTAAGTTGTAATAATATTTCACAATATTACAGTTTTTACTGTTATTTTGATTAAATAAATGCAGCCTTGGTGAGCATAAGAGACTTATTTCAAAAACATTCTCAATCTTTTATTTTAGGTCTCAAGATTTTAGGTTTTAGATTTAAAATATAATAAAAATCTTAGTTGCATTCACGTTTTAAACAAATAGTTAAAATTTATAGTTAGTTTTTTTTTTTATCTTGATTAACATTTATTTATCACTTTATTGATTTTTATTTTGTAAAAGACTTGTACAACAACCTGCTAATTCTTAAACAATAAATGAGAATTTGCTTAAACCAGGCTTTAGTACGGTGGCCGAGAGAGCTCAACGCTCTGCAAAAGAAAAAAACACATGCAAATAGAAAAAAACACCAGCATATTAAGAAAACGTATTAAGAAAACTACTAACCATTTTAAGAAAACATCTTAAAGGGGTCATGAACGGAGAAATCAAATTTCTCTTGATCTTTTGACATGTCAATGTACTATAAAAAACATCCTGTAAGTTTCAAAAGTCAAAACTTTCTCGTTAGTTTAAAGAGCTTTTATTGAAACCAAGCTCAGAAAATGACTCTCTTTGGAATGTGCCACTTTATGATATAATAGTGTGGCTAAGCACCGCCTCTGCAGGAGGTGATCAACGCCTGCTTCTACATCACTGCCTCTTTAGCCCTGCCCACTGATACACGCTTGTAGTAGGAGAAGAGGAAATACTAGAGAGATGCAAACACAGGATTACTCCATCAACAGAACCATACAGATGACATTACAAAATTACAAGACACTGTGTAGTGTATATCTACATCGGATGTGAGCGCTGTTGCGTCATGTCGTGAATCACTTTCTCTTTCAGGTCAAAAGCGGTGTGAATGCTTGCATGTCAGAAATTGAGCAGGACATCAGTTTACGGTCTAGGATTTGTTGTGTCAATCTGTGCTGCATCCAGTGTAGACAAAATCACAGATTATAATGGGTTCTGTTGTCTATAGTCGCGTTGCGCCGCTCGCATCCGATGTAAACACAGGGTAAAATTAGCAGAGCTCCAGATCGCGTTAGTGAAACACTGTTTGTTTGTTTGCTTTACTTTGCTATAGGGTTGGGTACCGAAACCCGGTACCAATGTGGCACCTATGTAACCGGTATTTACTAGAACCGAATCCGAACGCAGATTTCGGTGCCTCATTTCGGTGCCATGCCTGAGCGATTGATTGACATATTTGTCCTCTGGTTCTCCAAAACGGGCGTAAGAAGCATCATCACTGGCACCGCACGTGAAAAAAAAATAATTTCCCGACTGAGAAAATGCACATGAACTCAAGTCGGAAAGCTCTAATAATACAAGTCCAACACATCTTTGTAGTAACGAGTGTGTCCATGTTGTTTTCACATTCCGACTTAAAAGCACAACTCGGGAAATGAGAGCATCCAAGGAGTGCTAATGCAGTAATTACACTTGCTCTGATGGCAGCAGGTAGCCTTCCGTTAACTAAGCTAAACATGCTTAAA